CACAACATTCTCACCTCCAAAGCCTGTTGAAAAAGCCAGGTTTTGATGGCATCTCCATCAGCAATCTTATTATATTGGCATCTCCATCAGCCAATATAATAAGCACAAGGCATTTAACTTGCTTCAGCTTTTCTCATTGTTTGGGGAGTTACCACAATGATCACAAACTACCTGGAGAAAGTTTATAAATATGAACTGTGACAGATTTTCCTCACTTAAAATGGAGACTACAAGCAGATCCAAAACATTATTTGGGGTGAGTTAGCCGTAAAAATATGCATACTATCCTTTTCCACATTTATCACACTTTAATCTCATTCATCATGAAATACAAGTTTTTGTTTCAATTCTGAATTTTACATTTGTGGAATGACATTATTGCATACTGTACCTTTATTCCATATCTACCATGCCCTCCAACACTCACTGCCCTTTTATTTTTATATTTTTGTTTAACATAACATTCAGCCCATTACTCTTAGTATTTTGTATGTTTCTAGCTGACACTCTTAAAGGTACTATTTGCAACAGAAGTTTTGTTTTTGTTTTCTAATGTGCCATTGCAGATATAATCATTTTATATACCAACCAATATGTTTTTAAATTATGCGGGGGAGGGGGGCTCTTTTCAATTGTAACGTTATGAATAACCTCCACAAAGTCAATGACTTGTTTTTGAATTCATTTTCAGCAAAGAAGCTTAGTGCTGGTGTAAAGTATTAACACACACGTTTTTAAAATATGAATCCTACCTGCAAATCTGGGTCCCTTCTCTTCCTAGGATCAGTGCTTTGATTAATGTAATAACTTGTTTCTCCTGTTAATAAGCTGCCCCACCCCATTCCTACTAAAGAGACCTTGGACAGGGAAAAAGCCTGTCCAATAAGGATGCACAAAAGTCCTGTCTCTAGAACTACAGTCCTCATTTAATTCTTGGAACTGCAACAGAAACTGGATCAGCACGCATGGTTTGTTATGTTATTCATTTAGTTAATCTCCCAAGATTTGGACAACAGATACAGGGATATAAATTTCTATCATTATCTTCAATCATAATTTGCAATTTAGCCTTATTGTCCCTCCTCTCAGTAGCAAGAACTACGATAACCCTAATAACATGTATCTTATAATTGGATGTTGGCCAGAATTGATGGGACCCATGATAGCAACCTCTTCAACTGAGCTTTTGCTAAAAGGGACCTATTGGCTTCCACCCGCACGGCATTGTGTTTCCATCAGCCAAAGCCATGATTTTTTCAGCATTTTCCATCACAGATTATTCCTTAAGCACTACTGCTTTTAAAAGCTATGTATTGTGTTTTGAATGTTTTTCAGAAATTTGCTAAAGACAATATTATGTAAGAATAAAGAAGAATTTAAACTGATTTTGAATATATTAGTTACCTTCTTTTCTATTTGAATCCATGCTTCTTAAATGCGTTGGATATTGCTTCAAGTTCAGTCAATATATTTCCCACTTTGAAATTTTATTGAGGGGAAAAAAATCCATCCCATTGTTTTGAAGAATTTTTACATATGAATTAGATGACAGAGTTCCTAATTTTAGTGGAGGAAAAAATATAACGAGGTTATTGATTACTAGTCCCACACCATGAAAAAAAACACCCACTTTATGAAGTATACTTGGCTCATCTCTAAAACCAGTACCTTTAAGAATTTCTATGAAAGCTTTCTCTGAGCAGAGAGAAAGGAACAGATCTTTCCTAATAAATGTGCTTGACAATTATGTTACTTTGGGTAAAGGAAAGACCTAGGTAAGGGCAGAAAGGAAAGCTGAGACACTTCTGCTGTCAGTGAAGCTCTTCAAACTAAGAACCAACCTGCTTCCATTTTTAAATCTTCATCACTTGTAGTCACAGCCCAACAAGGCTCTGTACTAGCCATACTATAATCTTTGTGCTGCCTGTTTTATTAATTATTTTATTTATTTAAATGATTTATATGGTCACCCATCTCACAACAGTAACTCTGGGTGGCACACAAAATTAAAACAACATTCCATCATCTAAACCATGACGCCTAAAGTTAAAACAATAGATCCAAATCATACAAGCAGAATTACCAGCATAACTTGCCTAACCTCCTGGTCCAAATGCCTGGAAGAACAGCCTGGTCTTCAGAGCCTTATGAAAGGCTAACAGGGTTGAGGCCACCTGGATCTCCAGACAGACATGGTTCCACAGGGCAGGCGCTGCCCCGCAGAAGGCGTGATTATTGGGTCCATTTATCTTTACATTCTTTACTGTACAGCCTAAATTCTCTAGATGCAGGTGCAAGGGAGACAGTCCTATGACTATTATATTACTTCCAGGATCTCTCAGCAGTATTCCATATTGAGGAGAAAGTAGGTACATACCAGTAAGTAGGTAGACACCAATATTTTGATCTGAGCCTGGAAGTAATTAAGAGCCAAGGATGGTGATGCCCATATAATACACGCATAATGCAAAAGCCCAGTTAAAATTCTTGCTTTCATATTCTGCATCATCAAACATCCAGATTCTAATAGCAGCTCTATAACACATTGCAGTAATCCAAATGAAAGATTATCATAAATTTGGAACTTCAAAGACAGATAATCCACATTCAGAACAAGCACAACTGGGATACAGTCTGGAGCTAATATACTCTTTGCCACAGGAAGGTTCATGGATCTCTAGTTACATCAATGCATCCAAGCATTGCAAAAAAAGGCAGTTGAAATCCAGTCTCAGGAAAGTGTTTTTGGTTTTTATTCATAATAATTGTAATTATTTGCACATTTGAGTCGTCCACAGCATTTTTAGGAGTCAAGAGGAGAAACGTCAGCTGGCATGCTAAATACTACTGTAGTCCTAGGTTTCAGGTACCTGTGGTTACTAGTTCCCAGGACATTTGCATTTCCATTAAGAAAAAAGGTTGACAATGACCTGTCAACTGTTATGAAAATCCACTGCTATTAACATTAGCAGAATTTTAAGCCCTATTCATTTAGCCTTCCTTTTCATTTTGTTATGCCTTATACCAATCAAATAGCATTTCTCCTCTCCAGCAGCTAAATTATTTATAAGAATATCAGGCTGTCAATAAGTATTCTAAATTAGAGACATAAAGCACAGGCCTAGGGTTATCTTTATACATGTCCTCATGGAAGTATTTCCAGTCAGTGAAATATATACAGAATTTAAGCTTTAAAATTATGCTGCACATTTGCCTAATGCATCAGAAAAGAACTCTTGCTCTTGGACAATCTCTCGCCGTTTGTGCATGTCATGTAAGGAACAGGTAGATTCTCAATTAATATTAGAACATTTAATCATTAATTATTAAAAAGTGGAAGTACAATCAATTTTAAACTTACCCTTGGCTGTGTTCTCTTTCTCTCTTGCAGTATCAGGTCCTTTATGACTTTGAAACAATGACTGTCTCAAATGAAGAGAAAAAGGTAGCTATAAGAGCTGCAGTTTTCTGAAGTAGTTCTGTCACATGGTGATCATTCATTTCAAATTCAGGCATATCTAATCTAAACTTTTCTAATTATGCAATCCTCAGGTCACATCCTTCATCCGTGAGTCCCTCCCTGCTGGTTAAAAACAGCAGTGACATTTCTTAAATCAGCCTTTTTCACCATTTTACCCTAGAGGAACCTTGAAATACTGTTCACTCTCAGGGAATCTCTGCATAAAAATTGCAAAAAATACAGAACCTTCATAATACAATTCACTTTTAACCTACACCACTGTAAGTGCTAGCATTGTGCAGTGTGCAAATTAAAAAAATGTTTAATACTTTTCAATCACAGTCTCTTGTGGAATTCCTAGCAACCTCTCACAGAACCCTAGGATAACGCTGAACCCCCGTTAAGAAAGGCTAGCTTAAATGTAAATTCTACTTGATTTTTTTTTACTTTTCAGTAACAACAAACATTTATTAATTATAGTTTGAAGCAATGCTGCTGGTGTTTCATAAATGGGAAAGTAAAGGATCTGACAAGAGGATGCAGAACTGGCACTGGTCCAATATTTTATCCAGCAGGTGTGACCATAAATCAGTTCAATTTACTAATCTTCCCCCAATCTGGTGATGCTATCTCAGTTTTGTTGACTGGACATAATGGGAACTTTCCTGTAATATATCCAGAAAATACTATCTTGGGAAGTCTGTCCTATGGCTTGGAAAACATGGTAAGGCTAGGAGACATTGGATCATCAGTTTCAAAAGGAGTGTAAAGGAAATTCTTGATAATCAGATGGTGGTGGAAGGGGCACTTAATATTAGAGGTCTCCAGACTCTCCCTTTATTTTTGTATGAGTGATCCTGTAATGTTAAAACAGCCTAAGTATTCCACTGGAAAATGGCACTTATACGATATGTTTAATTTCTAAATGGAAATTACTCTGTGGAAGTTACTCAGTCTTCCAGGATTCTTTTTATATCAATGCATTGTTGATCAAGTACAAACACTAAAGTGTTGAGATCCAGCACTATATCCCAACAAGTGTGCATCCAGACTGAAATGTAATTGCTCATCCCATCCTATAATTATCTATTGTTCAGGGATATTTAAAGAATGAAATTGCAATCTGAATTCCAAATCTGTTCATGTCAGTGGTAACACGCTTACTCTTTTAATCATTTTCAGTGGAGTTATTCTAATATAGGGCCAGTAGTGAAAGTGAAGAGATGGTATTAACCTCCATAGGCTCCAACATATTTACAGATAGGTTCAGATAACTGCTGAAAAGTTAAACTCACTCACTGCATCCAGAAATAATGTTGCTAAAATATTGGATTATTTTAATAAACTTACTTATTATATATTTGTTAATCCTCAAATAAATCGTATATTAACAAACTCCCAGTGTAAATCCAGTATCTCAGTGAAGGTCTAGGCTACATTTTACATCAGATTTATGCAAAAATTTGGGGTAAGTAATCCACTAGAAGCATTGGTATAAGTTCAGTTCTTGTTTAATATATTAACTGAAAACAGACCGATGAAAATGGCAGACTACAAATTATTTATGTAGATGTATTGATTCAGTTATATTCTACCGTGCTTTCCACACTTCCTTTTTTTCTCTGAATGTCTCAGGGTTATTCTTCACAAATTCATAAAGATTATTAGAACAAGACATTATTCAATATTAGCATGTTTATTTTATCTGTACAATTTAAAAACAATAGTTTATTTCCATTAAGCTAAATATTACATTATTTGCTTGAAAACTCTGTAAGAGAAACATTTGATTTCTCTACCAGTCCAAAATATTCTACATTTCTAACTTTAGCTTCAGCCCTGGTGCTGCTGTATAATGGAAGGTGCCATCCCATTCCAGCCCTTGTGTGTCTGTAAATTCTCCTTTCCCTTCCAGCCTGAGATAAAAACAAAAACAATATGTTAAACAAAAGCAATACACTGTCCATAATCGTGTACAACTTAGTGGTATTTTGAGGCATCAATTTGCTAGAATAGCAATACTGAATTATTAATTATTTTAATTAGGATCTTTATATTGTGTTTCTGCATAAAACAATAAGATGAGGTGCAACACATTAAGATAAATAACACCACCATAAAAAACAATAAAATTATTCAAAAAATGGTAGAAGAAATAATAAAATATTGTAAGGAGTTTAAACAGCCAAATTAAACCCTTGAAATCATTTCAGACACCAACTATACATGGTAATATTCCTATCCTGTCAGCTCCATTGACCCGCTGACAAGAAGTCTTCTCTGCAGTTCTTAAACCCTAAATGGGTTAATCATGAGAGAGTTGCTTAGACCAAGGATTTTCAAATGTCTTCAGACCATGGAACCCTAACCCTAACCCTAACCCTAACCCTGTTGTTAAAAAAAAAAAAAATCTTGGAACTCCTGATCAAGAAACAAAGTTCTAATAGTAGAAAATTAACTTTATTTGAATGAATTTTTTGTTTGTGTCCAATCTTTTACAAAACCTCATCAAGTTCCTGCAGAACTCTACAATTCCATGGGACACAGTTTGAAAAACCCTGGATTAGACAATCTAGCCTTAAGGTCATTAAATTTATAAGCATTAAAAACAAGACTGAATTTGGCAGTGAAGGAAAAAGTACTAAAAGTAATAAATAATGTAATTCAAGAGCTAAGTTTTGGAATGTTGAAATTCCTACTTTTGTGTAGCAGAAATTATTCCATCATACTGAGTCTACTGATTAATTTGCATTATGTATATATCTTTATTTTTTCTAAGGCCACTTAACTGTCAAACAAATCAAGGCAGCACACAGAATGAAGCTGTAAGATAAGAGTAAAATGTTGACACTGATATCTTTGGTTATATCATGCAACTTATGGTGAAGTATGCAGCCCTGGTTAACTGCTGCCTTACCCGCCTTCAGACTAAAGTCTTGGGACCAAGCCCCGGAATCAATATAGGGATTAATTGATAACTAGTGTACAGATATTTGGCCCAATCATCTTCAAAAACAGCATTATCTTGAGACTATGACTGACACCAGAAATATTAATTGAAGAGATCACACTCACTTACAGAGATAGGGCAGAATGATTTGAATTAACACAGAATGCTAAGCCATGGCCTGTTGACTTAGCCAGAGTTTTCTAGGTTGACCCAACACAGCACAGTAAGCCCAAAACAAACAAACCATATTTTGGATTAGAGTGCTACATAAACCGAGACTAAATTTCTAATACAAAACTATATATATTACTATAGTTAAGATACCAAGATAAATTTTTGCAGTAATTTTTTTCAACTTACTTGTTTTCATTGAATTGTCCAGTATACTTGGCTCCATTGGGAAATACATACGTTCCTATTCCATGTAACATGTTGTTCTTGAACTCACCTTCATAAACTGCACCTGAAGGATGTTCTAGCCTTCCTAAACCATTCATCTAATTCAACAAGAAGAGGTATTGGCAGATGTATTAATAAAACTACTCCAATTATTATTTTCCTAAACTTAGTGAATTGAAAGGTGCAATCCTGTGCAAAATTAACTCAGAACAAATTCAGGTGAATAGGGTATAGCTTACTTTAAGACAATTATGCATATGATTGAGCTGGAAAAGTAAACAACCCTATGTAGCACTAACCTCATTTAAGCCCTCATTTAACTTAAATTCAGAATCAAGCTAAACATGTTTTACAACAGATTATAAAGAATTAAATATTTGTTTTCTTTTACAAATTAAAAACATTGGGGCAGTGGCCTAGAAAGAGAATAAAAACTTGCTTCCTTATGATCTACCCTAAAGTATGTAAAGCCTGATGCTATGTAGACATAAAGTGAATCTGAATTCATCTATGATTATTACAGTCATGTGCCCTCAAATCCATTAGTGACCATATAGATAGATTTTCTCTAGGATGATGTGTCCTCAACCTGGTCCTTCAGATCTTCCAGTGTGTACCTACTGCTGTAAATTTACTGTTGTAAATTGAATCCATCTACCTTGCTGCTGTCATCCTGTTTTTCTCTTTCCTCCCACCTTTATACACTTCTCAAGAGAGTTAGGCCTTTGCAGAATGTATCCAAAATATAATTTCAGCCTTGTCCATTGAGTGAGAACTCTGGAATATGATTGTTTGTTTTCTTGGCTAGGATCCATTTGTTTGTTTTCATGGCTATTTGTGGTATTCTGAGGAGTCTTTTTCAAAACAATTCATTCATATAGGTAGTCCTCAGGTTACGACAGCGATTGAAATCAGGATTGCCATTGCTAAACAATGCAGTTGTAAAACATGATGTCACATTACCATATTGCTTACTGATGGCAATACCAGGAGTCCTAGTTGCTGTTGTAACCCCAGGATGCCCGGGTCATTAAGTGGAAAGAGGCGGCAGTCCCAGGTAAGGAGCGCAGCGGTGTGTGCGGGTGCCACAGGGGTTGAGGGGTGCAACGGGCAGACACTAGGGAGCACGGGTGGGTTGGTGGAGGCTGAGGGAGGCCTGGTAGAGGCCACAGGAGGATGGGGGGTGCTTTGGGTGGGTGGGCACTACAGACTGCAGGTAGGTGGGGAGTACTAAGGAGTAAGAGATCCCTGGGATCTCTGCAGCTTTCTCCTTAGGAGAAAAAGCTGCGGGAGCGACTTACGACTTCCCTGCCAGCTTCCTCATTGACTTTGCTTGTGGGAAGCCAGCAAGGAAAGTCGCAAATGGCATCTCACTATGATGCTGTGATCATGAGCCAGGCACCCAAGCACCTGGACTGTGATCACGTGACTGCTACAAAGGCCAGAATTTCAAGGAATGGTTATAAGTCCATTTTTATAATGCTGCCATAACTTTGAACAGTGAACAAATGGACACAAGCCGAGGACACTTGTTCTCTAAATCTATCCTAACTTACTATATGCATCTGTTGTTCATGCAGAATAGGCTTACTCACGCTAAGCTGACATTTGCTTAATCACAGAATGGTGAACAACCAAACCACATTATAGCTTACTACAATGTATGAGCTGGGTCACAAAGCTGACATTCTTAAAGATGGGTATAAAAATAAATCTGGATATCATTAATTTATAAAGGCAGGAGCTGAAATTAAAAGAAAAGGTGTAAGAAGGAAGGGAACAAAGACTAAATTCTGAGACCCCTAAAAATATCAGAACTGAAATGATGGCACCAGAGGTGAAAGACTGTTTTTTAGAAAAATAAGATGTATTGCTAGAAAATATAAATATAATCTATGTTATATATATTTTACAAAATATAACAGCAATTTCAGTAGAGAAGGATTATTTATTGGATATGTAGCCAGCCTTTCCTACCAGAGCTCAAAGTATCATATAACATTCTCTCTCTTCTCAGTTTGCCCCACAAAAACCCTGTAAACTGAACTGGGAAATAATGACTGGCCTGAAGTTGTCCAGTGGGTTTTCCACAGTTGAAAAATGACTTGGCCATTCTCAACAAATTCTTATTTTGCTTTTAACTGATTCCTGGCATCTCTCGAAATATTTTAGGTGACAATACCCTTTTGTGGGTGTCTCAGAGCAAGAAAAACTAACATATTGGATAACTAGCCCTTGCCTTACTTTGCAGCTTTAGCACTGGGAGAACAATTAGGAAAACTGTGATGCATCATGAACTCTCACCCTTCATTCTGCTTAAGGCAGAAGGGCCAACTAAATGTTCTAATAATATACTTGGTCTATTTGTACTGAAATAAGACAATGGCTGAGATACCATAAATTTTATACAGGATAAATAACAACAGTGTATATTTGTGTGTATATACATTTTCATAAATTTGGACATCTGATTTTCACTGATTCTCCATTCCTACCTCCTTAAATCTCCATGAGAAATTGCCATGGAAGGCTGGGGGGAACCTTTGGAATCAAATAAGATATGGCATGGAAGGTTCCAAGATGTTCAAATGGAGGTATTCCAGTAAAATGAAGCTACCATTAGATATAGTCCAAGTTTTATTTTATTTATTCACTGAGATTTCTTAAGTCAATTAGTCAGATGCCATCAGGTCCAAATTCTGGTCACTGAATGTTCTCTATCTCTATTTTTCTCCAGTACCACAGCACTTCCAGGGAATCCCATTGATATTCCTTAACCTTTCCATCCCTTTACTGTTGTCTTTTCCTTCCACTTCCTTCAACCCTGACATGCACAATCATTTTTCCCTAATTCATCAGCTATTTGTATCACACACCCAAAGTATGTGAGTTTCTGCTTGCTAATTGCTGCTTCATTGGAACAATCAGTTTTTATTTTTTCCAGAACTGACTCTTGGTTCTTCTTGCAGTACATGATTCTCTGAGCAACCATCCCCAAATCCATAATTAAAAAGTGTCTATTTTCTTTCTCTTTCTCAATCTCCAGCTTTTTTCAGCTCAGAAAACTACACTGATGGCTGGCTGGAAGGGCACATATATGTTCAGAAATCTAGCTGTGAAAGATAGCGAGAAGGAGAAAAAGTAAAGGGAGGAATGCTAGGCATAAACAATCAACAGCTGGGAGGAGACTTCATTAGCAGTGTATCTCTTAAATGGCAATTCAGTCCAGCCTGCAAAAAGCCTCGGAAGAAGTTCAAAATATTCAGAGAGTTCACCGTAATGAACGCAGTAATAAAAGAGGACTGGAGATTTGTATCACATTTCCAAGATTCTATTCCTTACCTCTAATTCTTGCATTGAAATACCTCATTGAAGTCTATGATATTTGCTTCTTGAATGGTATGGTCTTGACATTAGCTTCCACATATTATTTCCCAATAGCCCGAAAATCAAATGTCACATGACCATGTATTTTAGCATGTACAGGTAGTCCTTATTTAACAACCACTCGTTCAGAGACTGTTTGAAGTTATAATGGTGCTGCAAGAATGGTGGTTACAACTGGTCCACGAAGGTCCAGCCATCCCAGCACCCCTGCAAGTCACGTGATTGCGATCTAGGCGCTTGTCAACCAGCTTACGCTTACAACGGTTGCAGCATCCCACAGTCACATGATCATAATTTGTGACCTTCCCTGCCAGCTTCCCACAAGCAAAGTCATTAGGGAAGTCAACAGGGAAGGTTGCACGTTGCTTGGGTAAATCTCCCCCACCTGTGCACCCTCCCCCAGCCCTTCTGTGCTCATGCAGCACCTCACTGGCCACCCACACACACTCACCCTTCCCAAGCCTCGCCGCGCTTGTGCTGTGCCTCCCTGGCCCCTCACGTACTCTCCCTGGCCTCTTGCGCACCCTTGCCCACCCTCCCTGAGCTCCACCAAGCTTGTGTCGTGCCTCCCCTGCCACTCACACACCCTCCCCCACCTGGCAGAAGCCACCTCAGGTCCCATGCTCATGCCACACCTCTCCTGCCACCCACACACCCTCATGCATGCTCCCTGAGCCTTGCTGCATTTGCGCTGAGCCTCCCTGGCCACTCACACATCCTCTCTGACCACTTGTGCACTATCCGTGCCCTTTCCCCCCGCCTCCCCGGCAGCAGCCACTTACCTGCCTGCGAGCTGTCTGGGACTTGCAATTTCCTGCCAGCTTCCCCACTGACTTTGGTTGTGGGAAGCTGGCAGGAAGTTGCAAGGAGGTGCTCACTTAACAACCCATGATCCTTGTTTAATGACAGCAATGGGGACTGCAGGGATTGTTGTTGATAAATGATGCACTCACATGATGTCACACTTTACAACTGCATCGCTTAGTGATGGAAATTCCAGTCCCAATTGCCATCGTAACTTGAGGACTACCTGTATATATTTATGGCCTTTACCTACTAGCTGGCAGTTAGTGGACTGCTAAAGAGATGTGATGTCAATGGGGCATTCATGGTGGGTTGCACAGTTCAGGCCACCACGTGATTTACAAACTATAGGCTGCCTGCCCAAGCTTTGGAGGAGCAAACAGTTAAGCCTGAGCACACCCTAATGTTTTTTGCGTTTAACTATTATTTAGGAATGTTATCTAAGCATGAATATTAGAATATGAATACTGACATAATATTAATAGCAAAGATCTTTAATTATTTGCATTTTTTTTTATATTTGTAGAAACAAATATACCTTATCATTCTTCCATGTTCCACGATAAATAATTCCATCTGCAGTAGTATGAACTCCATATCCATTTCTCTCAAGAACTCCATCAGGTGTTCTTGTACAGTCACCATCTAATGAAGCAAAAGGCCATGCAGGAGGGAAAAACCCAATAAAATAAAAATTAAACAAGTTACTCATATTAATCAAATAACATTTAATGAGTTAAAATCCTTCACTGTAAATTGTCAGAATCTGTGGGATGTCATATTAATAATTTCACCAATTCCCAAACTTCATAGTTTATTAGTCTATTCCTTCTGTTTAAAAATGTTAATACTTTCCAGATCTGAATCACAGTGTCTCTGTTTACCATCTCATTTGCACAATATGCTAAGGTACAGTATATTGTGGTTTGGCTTAGCTTGTTGTCCTAATCATGCTATTGATCAGACTGCAGTTAAGGAGCTTTCTTGTAACCACAATATAAAACAGACTTCGTTTTAGTTAGTTTATATTAACATCATCTGGCATATTGTCTGAACCTAGATTTTTGGTTTACAGGCACAAATGATTGTACACTGGAACTAGCTACCCCAATACTATGTCCTGTGTCTCTGTACGTGATCATGCCACCAGCCTTTTCACCCTTCCTCCATGTTTTCAGATAAAGGCAAAGGAAGCAAGCAAGCTGACTGGGCTATCTGGCCTTGGCAACTTAAGGAGATGGGGCCAGTGCTAAGGAGGCTCACTCCATTATTTGTGGAATGATTATCAAGTTAGTGTAGGAATTGAGAGGGCAAATATGTCAGTTAGGTCAATGGCCAATGATCCCACAGATTCAAGGCTAAAAAGCGCAAGGCACAATGTCTGATAAATCATGGGAAAGGTGGGAGAAAGAAAGGTGGAAATAACAACTAGCAGGTATAAAAAGGGAATCGCACTAAGGCAATCAATTGTGTTAGTGGTGTCTTTCTACTATGCTATAAAGATTTTTATCTGGCTATGTGGTGTCATGGCACTTGAGAGTCTTAAACCAAGTTTGAGCTAACAGCCTAGTCAAGCCATGCTGAGTTAAGTCTCTGGGAATTTCTACTGATGTCTTGCTAGCAAGTTTTACAATTTGATTGCCCTTTCCATAACCCCTCCACTATAGGAGGAGAGAGCCATAGCATATAGTTTGGGGTCAGAACAACAGCCACTGATCCTTTGGGAAGTACACTGACCACAAATAATTCAAGCTTGGCTCAGAATCAGGTGGCTACCTAGATGGATCAGCTAGCTCAGACCATGAACCGATTAGTCCAGCAGATGGGACAGACTTAACTTTCAGGGAATTCTTGACAAGATTTTACCACTGAGTCTGACAATTAACTCCCTAATTATGATTAATGCTGAGCTAAACTCACCATGTCATGCAGACATGGCCTATGATAATGCTATGTTTTATTTGCAATACCGCTTCCAATAGCTGTAGCAATCACAGTGCAACATGATTGATAATATCACACAAGAAATGTCATACTTTGGGGTATACAATTAAATGCAACTGTAGCTGAATATTCTCTTCAAAGCCACTTTCCTATTTCTATCCAAAGAGTGAGATTATAATTTAGAGAAAACTGAGGAAAACCAATCCTGAAACACCCTTGATATTTAAAAACAAATTCATTCCAGCTTAATACTACAAGGATGCACAGTAGTTATTTTCTAAAATACTTCATTTGCATCATAGTGCTCAGTCTATTGTCCCCTTTACAGCATAATCCTATTTTTCAGAAAGAAGAACTGTTGAATTTATTTTATTGTAAATAAGTGTTATAGGTTTACAGCCTGAACTGGTAGTAAATTGTATACATTTTAAATTTTCATAGGTTAAAATTAAGGAAATTCAAAACTACATTAAAACTATTCCAGTATTACTCACTAGAACTAAATTCTACTTCAGAACAGATTATTGCTTATCCCTGGTAAATAGATCAATAACTACAACTTGAATTAGCTAGCTGTTGGACAGTTTTATACAATTATATTATTCTCATACAACCATTTACAGTTTTTTAAAAAATAAAATTACTGTAAAAAACCTCTAATATTCTAGATATTAGCAACAGTTTTTAAACATGTCAAGAATTGAATCTGATAATGCTGCTTTAACCAGATAAGAGCTTCTGATCTTCTGGATAAGAAGAGAACTGTTATTGCTATTGTTTGCTCTTCTATTACAATATTAATAATGTAGTATTTAAATATCCAAATTAAAAAAATGTTAGCAAAAATTACAGCAGTGAATAACAACTGTCAGTTGTGGAAAATATTAATTACCATGGTGCCCACTGAAACTGCAGGTAGACAGCAAAGGCAAAGGTCATGCAACAGTGGACATTTTTATAGCAAAGAGCATATTAGCATAAGCATAACAGCTTCCTTATTGTGGTAGCTCTAAAAGTTTACCTTATATGGCTTGCACTTCTGTACTTTGTTAATAAAAATTCCTGTAACCTTAGAGCCAGAGTCTTACCTTGCTGGAATCTTACATAAGGTCTCTCGCAGTTTTGACCAGGCTGTACAGTCCCTTAATACAGCTAATTAGAAACTGCAATTATGTATCAGGTCCTACATGAATACAGAGTATCTCAGAACCTGGTTGCTGCTTGAGCAACTGAGAAGGCAGAAAAAAGGGCGCTTGCAGGTCTTGGTAATTTTTCACCAACACATTATAATATAGTATCAGAAAATATTTACCATACTTATCTTGATTTGGAAATATAAATGATATTTTATAAACTTCAGAACCTGTTGAGAAAGAATATAGTTTTACTGATCTTTAAAAGCATCCTTCAGCGTAAATATAAAATATGCATGTATATGTATATATGTATATGTATATGTACAGAGAGCACCAGTTTGGTGTAATGGTTAAAGTACTGGCATAGAAACTGGAAGACTGTGAGTTCTAGGCCTCCCTTAAGCATGAAAAACGGCTGGGGGACTTTGGGCCAGTCGCTCTCATTCAGCCCAACCCACCACACAGGGCTGTTGTTGTGGGGAAAACAGCAGGCAAGAGTATTAGGTATGTTCACTGCCTTGAGTTATATATATTTAAAAAGGGATAATAATAATCATCATCTGCTCGAGCTTAGTTCATCCCACCTGTTAACCACGAAGTATTCTGCACTTACTGATCTTTGACAGCAAAACCATTACGTTAATAGACACACAGCAACATTTGACTGGAGAAATGCAAAATCTTCCTATACTGAAGCTGACATAACCTTTTGATTTCGTCCATGAAACATCTTTCCTTTTTTGTTTTTTGTTTTTTTAAACAACCCTTCCATCAATGCCAGCCGCGCGAATTGGAATCACTCCTCACCAGACATAACTTGAAAGATGCACACGCGGTTGCTATAGCGACGAGATTTACAGGAAGCGAAAGCCTTTTATTTCCGGGTGATTGACGAGCGTTCTGAGTAAAGTTCAGATTTCAGGCGGAAGCTGATTATCTTCTAAGAGAAATTAGTAGGCGAGAAAGAGGTTTGTATTTATGGGAGGGAAGGGATGATATAGGAATTCCTTCAGGGTGACCATCTCTAACGCGGTGACCTTCAGTTCTGGCTTACTAGTTCCGTCGTTCCCTGCCAACAGGGCAAATGTCCGGAGAGTAGAGGGGTGTAGTCCTCCCTGAATAATTATTTCAATTAGACTGTGTACTGGTCACCAACAGCAATTCTCTATAGTTTTTCCTAATTTTCACTGTGGATACTGTGGCCCCTCCCACCAAAAAGTGAGCAGTGATATGTTCAATTAATATATAATTTATTGTGACATTAGTTTATACCATAATGATATATATCATAGTATATAATTTATACTATAATTTATAATAAATTTGTAAATTTATTATGATTTATTTAAAGCTTTTTTACCTTGCTTTTCAACCTCCCCATCCCAGAGCTCCTTGCAGTGTTAATAAGCAAATAACCCTGTTTGCAATCCAAGAGGTTCTCCATAATAGGAAGAGAGAAAAGGAGGAGAAACAGGCAGATGTATTCTCCAAGTATTTACTTACCGAATTCAGCAAAAACTTGATCAGAAGGGCTGCTGTTTACTCTTCTGGTGACTTCATTAATTGTAATTGGAGAGTAGTTGAACCAATACTGAAAGTAGCTCATAGCATGTAATGCAACTGTAGTGTATATACATCTCTACAGATATAATTTAATCAATTTTATTGATTTAAATTTGATCTAATGGAGTATGATATACTGTTGCGCATGTCACAAGCAGATCCTTAGTGCTAACTCTATTCTTATAGATAACGTACAAACTGTGGCCAGAGCAAATTTATTAGGAAATAAATCCCACTGTGTTTGTTGTGGTTGTGGGAGAGGGCTAATCAGTGAATGATGTAAAGTAATAATTGACACCTTTACTGTGTGTTTACATAGTGAACCTAGTGCTATACTTCACTCTTGATTATTTTGTTTCATTGTTTTTTTTTCTTTTAGCTAAATATGAGTTCATCAGTAAAGAGAAGAGGGAGACCAAACAGTGGGGGAAGAAGAGGAGGAGGAGGTGGTGGTGGCAACAAACATCAAGCCAGTGGCAGTAAAAAAAGCTTGGACAAAAATTGGGATTATGATTTTTGCATTTTCAGTGGAACAAAAAAGGATGACAGGTTAGCAAAATGAATTTTGCTTCAGAACGTGAACTGAATATAGAATCATAGAGTTAGGAAGGAATGTTTAGCCTATTGATGCCAACCCTATGTTCAGTGCATAAATCTGAATTAAAGCATCCCAGACAAATGGCTATTTAATCTGTACTTGAATGCATCAAATGAAGGGGAGCCCACTACCTCTGAGTGTGTGATCAAGACATGTAGGCATTCCCTACCTAGCTCTTTTTCCCCTGATCCTATCTCTTTTTCTGCCCCAGTGCCAAGCCTTGTCCTGTTGAAGAGTAATAAATTGTTTCTCTCATTGGAACAGTGGAAAGGTTTTTTTTTTAACTGCATCACATCAAAAGTAAGCTCTTTCTTATTTAACTGTTAAGGGAGTATGATGGGAGTGGCATGCGTGTGAAAAAATGGGGAGTGGAAGGTATATGCAACCAGAGTAAGCAGGCAATAATTTAATGTGCTTTAATAAAGCCTATTGTAATGCTATATAGTCACATCCCTCAGTTGCAACACTTTTATATGTTTCTTAGACATGCCATGTGAAATTTACTGTCAGTCAAAATATTTATCAATGACTATCCCGTTCTGCCTCCTGGAGAGGAAGATCTTTGACAAAAGCTAAAAGCCAGAACAGAGTTCTGTTTCCACAGTATATTAACTGTCAGATATCGGAGACAGAACTAAAAAAGCTTCCCTTAGTGATTATAGTACCAGATACCTCAGGAAGAGGTATTATTTAACACAAATGGAAGGGGATTATGTTGGTGCTGCGGTTTGCTTTCCATGATACAATAAGAGGGTGGCACTAAGTGAAGAAAAATAAAATAATGGATACAAATTTATATTTTGTTATCTATTGATTGTGCAATAAGAATAGATATATACTAAATAGAAAGCATCAAGCAGATAAGGAATGTGTTGTATTTTGGGGGAAAACTTGTTAAAAATAAAATTCCTAATCAACAAGAACACATGGTAACTTTGTAACACAATTGTTATATTACATGAATCGATCCTACAGTCAATTTAGGTTTATTGTGCTCATTATAGAGCTTATTTTGGTTTCTGTGATGTAGGAGTCAGGTGTATCAAATATTAGTAATTTGCTGTCCCTGGGTCAGCCCCACCAGATAGGCTAAACCATGAATCAACTCCACAGAAAGGCTACTTTTATTGAGAGTGGCTATAATATCAGAATCTTGCAAGTCTGGTTGTGCTGTACCTCCTCTTCTTATACCCATGTGAATTAGGGAAGTGTCTGAGTCATTTTTGTATACTTTCTGCTTGTTTTGGACTTAATACATGTTTATCCCCTCGTTGCTTTGGCAACAAATCTTGCCAGTCTTCCTTACTCTCTCCACCCTGTCTGAGAATTTGCTAACATCAAAAGATGGATATGGAATTGATCCAGTACAATTGTCATTTTCATCATAATTTTAACTAATGAATTTTATGTACCTTGATATGCATTTTATACTTATTGGTAAATAACATATTTTTTCTTTTCTGTGCATCAAATTCTGTTAATAAGAGGACATGGACAGACCAAGCATGCATCCAAGACCAAAACACCTCTGCAGACTCTTTATATGACTTCAGAAAATCAGAAGAGAGTGAAAGAACTTCTTTGTGAGCTCCAGGAGCAGGAGCTGGCTTCTGGTTCAAAGTTAGTTTTTTTTAAACACAGTTTACTTATTCCTTAAATATGACATGTCCCCGAATTGTATATGAAAACCCTTTAATTAGTCTTGTAACTGAATAGGCATTTCACAGTATGTAATTATGATATATAATTTAGCATTTTTAATCTGTAATTAAAAAATTTTGTACCCATCCTGGAAGAAGAAGCAAAGTGTTTATTTAACTCAAAGTGGCTGCATGTTTTACATATCAGAGCCAACTGATTTCTACTTCCGAACAATTAAGTAAAACCACTTCAGTACTTAGAGAGGAGAGTATAAAATCACTCTCTATAATCTCAATTCTTCAATTTAGTCTAATTTATTGATTGTAGTCCTAGGAATAACTTATGCTTTCAGGACACTTATATCAGGCACAGCTGACTGCGATGAATTGGATTATCTGGATGATGAGGAGTCCTGGTCGGATGCCAATGCATTCTCTGAAACCAGTTCAACAGCTGCTTCTCAAGCACCAGTGAACCATGTGCTAGAGATGGAAGTGTCATCTTTTGCTGTGCATAAGCTTTCCAGGTAATTCTTTTTGCATCTATAAGATCAAAACTATAATGTAGGAATCTTGACTGGAATCAATAGTTGCAGTTATATGAAGGAGTAACACACTGAATTCAGAATCTAGCAACTCAAGTAATAGCAAGACAGTTTTGGGTTTGATTTTAAAAAAGCACATTTCAAGCAATTATAATTATGTAAAAATTGTCAAAGGGCTGCTTTTTTCTGGAAATTCCAGCAGATGTGAGTTTGTCTGTTTGTGTTATTATGGGAGGAGCAGAAAAGAAATGAGTATTTTATTCAAGTCAATTTTCTACCAATCCACATGCTACTAATCCCATTTTTCCTGGCTTTTTTATTCTGCCCAAGCAGATTTTTGGGAATTCAACTCTATTTCATCAATCCATCATTCAAGCCATCAGTGCATCCTCATAAAATGCAAAATTCCATACTCTGAAAACAAACCCTGAATGGGATAACAATGTATATCATTGCAGAATCATACTGTATTATACAATCTAGAGTATTTTCTTCTTCTCATAGGATAAAAATAGGGTACCATGTTTAGAAGTACAGGTAGTCCTTGTTTAACGACCGTTCATTTAACGACAGTTTGAAGTTATGACAGCCTCAAAAAAAGTGCTTTACAATCTGCACTCACACTTATGACCGTCGCAAACTGTTGCACCACTCCCCATGGTCACATGTTTGTGATTTGCAACCTTTTTTTACCACAGTTGTTAAGCAAGTCAAGTGGCCATTAAGAGAATCACATGGTCATTAAGCAAATTCTGGCAAAAAACATCCATTGGGGAAGCTGGATTTGCCTAATGACCACTTGATTCGCTTAACGACCATGATGATTTGCTTTACGACCTTCATAAAATAGTAATAAAATCAGGTCCAGTCATGTGGTGACTTGCTTAATGACTGCCCTGTGTAATGACCAATTATCTGGTCCCTATTGTGGTCATTAAGCGAGGACTACCTGTAGTAGAGCTACTTGCTCTTATCCAGATGGCACTTGTATCCACTATGTTTTTTTCTTCTTCCTCCTCCTCCTCCTCCTAGGTATGGTTTTGATTTTGAGCATTGCCGAGCAGTACTGAAATCTTTCAATGGTAACATTGGGGCATCCTTGGAACATTTGCTTTTGCAGTACTTCACAGAAAATTTTGGAAAGAGGATGAAGCTCACAGAAGCTGCTGTTCAAGCAAATATTAAAGACTGTTTGGAACAAAGGCAAGAAGAAGCTTTAGCCCTCCGTTCAATCTATGGAGACAAATTTGTTGAACGAATTCAAAATCGAGTTTGGGCTATTGCATTAGAGTTGGCATATCTAACAGATATTTTCAGCAAGACAAAACAAGGGAATAGCATCACCAGTAGCATACTTAATTCAAATTCCTTAGGTATCTGTAAACATTATCTCCGAGGAGACTGCAAGTTTGGACCAAGATGCAAGTTCAAGCATGAAACTCCACACAATCAGAAATCACTTCCCCATATTAGAGAAGATGCTCATCTCAGACTTAATAGTGATAATGTTCCTGTGTATGAACTTGAAGTAAGATTTCCGGAGGATAATAAATACCCATATCAGCCGCCTCTTGTGGCATTCTATTCTACTAACGAGAACCTGCCCTTGTCTTGTCGGTTGCACTTAGCTGAATTTCTTTATGAAAAGGCCTTAATATCATCTGAGTCTAATAAACCTGTAGTATATGATTTTGTAACATTTTTAGAGGATGAAGCTCAAGTCCTGAAATTGCTTAGTAAGACATCCCACAAATACAGTGTTCCTCCAGTTCCTCCGATGACGCCTCTGGGAAGAACATCAACAGATCCTGTTAAGCAAGAGCTTCCAAGTAGCCCTTTTAATCCATATCAGATTTCAGAAGGTATGTACATTTTTATAAGTCCTTATTGAGATCTTGAAAACCAGTATTGAATGCCTCCATTCTGCTTCCAGTTGATGTGAAGACATTATTTAGGTATTATTCTTTCTGTAGTGGGCCTGAAGAATATTGTATTATGAATCAATTTCAAGAGGAAACTTTGTAACTTGCTGGATCTTGTTTTTTTATAGTAATTATTTTCTAATATGGGTAAAACTAGGCAATTTTCAGTTAATCTGAGAGAGTATTAGACTGTAAGGAATGAATGGTATGTAAGTACAGAAATGTCACAGTTTGTAATTCAGTCAGTCAAACAAATAAATTGATACCTAATGATAAAAAAGATATAATTATTTTTAAAAGTCATTCTATATTGGCTGGGGTCTTTCAAATGTATTGAGTTCCCAGTACGGAGGAGTCTGTCCAAAAATGGCAGATTTTCCAATTAAGACTTGCATTTGAAGATGAACCTTTAGTGTAGTCCTTCACTGATCATTTGATCTGACTGGCACTTTTAGTCTTTGTTATTGTTCAGTAATCCAAATCCCATTTACAGTATTTATGGAATGTATACTATACCTTTTAATTTTAAGAAGGTGTGTGCTCTGCCATCTGGCCTGGGGTGA